GCAACTACTCTATTTTCTTTTCTTCCACGAAAAAGCGCCAATTTTTCATGAGATGGAACACCTTGGAAATGACCACGGTAATAGCGCTTTATATTGTATTTCATATTACAGCTTTTTGTACGATGCCCTAAACAACAAAACACGAGGGTCTCACTTGGCGGCGTGGCATACATATATACTTGCCTTAGCAAAATATATGTTTTTTTTTGAAATCTAGACGCAGTGTTTGCATTTTTATTGGGCCATTCCCGTGTAATAGCATGCTTTTTCCCCCGACAGCAGTTGTTTTTATGCCTAACAATTGTTATTTCCAGTGGCAAACTCTTCATTATTGCGTCACGACCAGGGTGAAATGAAGAGGTTACAATCTTATGCAAAATGGGGGCTGGGACAGTACATTCAACTGCCTTCATTCGAAATGATTTACCTGCACAAGTTCTCCTTGCACACGATTTTAGACGTCTAAGTAGAGCTTTTTGCAGATTAAAAGTTTTTCGTTTCAAGGCTGCAAAAAGGGCAGGCAAAGATTCGCGTTTTTACATTACATATCCTCTAAAGGTCGTTTCGCTCTTCCGTTTGTCTGATTCGAGTCGGTTTTTTATTGCGAGGAAATTCTTGATCAATTTTAATGGTTGTAAAGTTACTTTGGTAATAAGAAGGAAGATAAGGTGTTAATTTACAAAGCAGAAAACAGTTTCAGCATTTATGATGAATAGAATTTGCTCAACGTGTTGAGAGAACTTTACAAATCCAACTTTGAGAGAAAAATAGGGGTTTTGTGGTTTAAAAAGAAGATTTTTGAATTCCACAAGGGAGATTCTTGCTACTCATTTATTTTATTGGTTTGATTCTAGTTATTGTATTCTTAATAAATGAGTATTTGAAAAAAGATTTGTTCGATTGCTTGACAGAGTCTTGACAAAATCATTTGATGCGGTCCTACAACACGCGCAGCTACCTCGCATACTTTCGTCTCTTTATTTTCTGCTAATTATGGTTCGAACAAATTGTAAGCATAGCGCACCTAGGATGCACAAAAAAACAAAATTTAAGGTGCATATTTGAGATATTTTCGTCCCGCAATAAAACGAGAGATGGTTGGCCAAAGTTCGGAAGCATTACGGTCGTGAGTTTTAATTGGTTATAAAACGATGCCATGTAATAATAACTCCTAACCCAAATTCTAGGACAGACAACTAGCAAAATAATAGGAGTGTGACATTTTAAGGCTAGGAAATACAAAACTTACATAAATTTGCAGGAAATTCCTTTCAAAAACCTTTTGAAGGAGATTAATTTTCGTTCCCGAAATGAAATTGCGCATTGACGTAGAAAAGGGGGAAGGTTTGTTTATTAACTTGTGCAAATCACTGGATCAGAAAAGTTGTGCGTTAGTCGAAGCAAATTATAGTGACTTGAAAAATGCATGCAAAAGTGGGTGCCAGTCTAGCAGCAGTACGGCACCGGTCGAACTTCTCTACTTCTCACCTACTTTAATCCTCCATCTCATTCACACGAAGGTCAAACTCCAGTGTTCATCACAGTATCCTGGTTCTTACAGAAGCCTGTGGGGTAGTACAAGGGCACTAGTCTGTTGCGTCTAAGCAAGCAAATACCTTACCAATTACCTCACATACACATTGCTGAG